TGATTAATATATTATAACATTAAACCATATTGATCTAACTTAAGTTATCATCAATCTACATATTTATAAATTTATGAAGGTTCTAGATTTTATTATAATTATTAAAAATATATTACAAAATACTTGCAATATAATATATAATAGTATATTTAAATAAAAATGAAAAATAAAAACATTGAATTAGTAATGAAATTATTTTTCATGGTTGATATACTTTCAATTCATTGATCGTCGTGTTGATTATTACTGGTGATTCGAAATGCTTGTCGAAAATAATGTAAGGTCATAATGACGTAGGGCACTTGTAAAAATAATATGAAACGGAATTCCTCATAAATAAAAAACAACACGTATATAGACAACATTTTAACATTTTTATCATATATAACTGAGCATTACATGGTATGATAACGGACAATTTGGAATGAAGATCAGACAAGGCAAATAATTTAAAATATAGATCTACAAACTCATTAATAGAAAAACATCTAGACCTAATGTTTCTATAGGCCTCGGTTGGCAAATCCATGGCATGCTAAAAAATTTTGTGGGCACGCGAAAATTTTTACTATTATATATTATATTATAATAGCCGACCCATCACAGCTTGGTTACCCGTCACTGATTGGTTGTTTATTTTGCCTTCGGACCATGATATGTAGAATTTTTTATTCAAATATTATTGTTTAATGTAATCGGCAAGTAAATATAAAAAAACAGTTAATGAAAACGGATTGAAATTTTTCTAGCGTTATAAATGATAAAAATAAATAAAGATTAAAAAGAAATAATTTATGGTTGATAAAGAATTTGATTGAAGTTGATGAAGAAAAAAAAAGAAAAAAAAAAATTAAAATAAGAATTTTAAAAGACTTCTGAGTATATGATGTTTTTTGTTATATTTCTTCTTGAAATTAAAATCATAAGATGATTCGGGTCCCCAGTTCGAGAAAATATAATTGCCCATGTGAAAAGCACTCTGTTCGAAGATCTATGCCAACGTACTTGAATGTTTGACCTTGCGCTTTGTTTATAGTAATGGCAAAAGAAACTTTAACCGGGAATTGAAGCCGTTTGAAAGAAAACGGCAAGTCAGAGGGAATCATGGGAATTCTTGGAATAAATGCAATTTCTCCTTTCGCTGGCCCTGTAAGAATTACGGCTTCTATAATATTATTTCGCAAAAATGTTATTTGTAATCTTGTACCGTTACATAAGTTCGGTGGTTGAAGATTACGTAATAATGTAATTGGAGCACCAATTTTTAATTTTAGCTTATGAGGAGACCGAAGGAGAAAGAGAATTGAGAAATTCTTGTGGATAATGAATAGCATCATCTGTTGATGTAACTGTATCAATAGATAGATATTCACGTGAGTGTCCATCGAATTTTAGAAGGATGATATCATTAATTTCTCCTGCTGTTACATTTCTCGGAGAGATAATAGCTCTTTCACATAACCACTGATAAAATTTATTGGACAGATTAAAAATGTCAAAGTGTAAAAAAATCTAAGGCCTTCAAGCTTTCAAATGAAGTAGGACCTTGTACATAATTTAGTAACAATCTTAAATGGAAGCACTCACTTTGATTTGGGTGAATCGTGTAAATTCTACCGATGGCTGTGTCCATTTTTATTCCTAGCCAACCTGGAACATCTTTTCCCTGTCTTCTCTTTAACCAGCCTCTGCTATCATCCCAGGTATAATAAGAAGGAACTTCATGAAAGAACCGTGTTTTCGCAAAATCATCATGTGAACACAGTTCAAAAAATGCAGTTAGTTTCGTTTTTCTTGGATTTTCAATAACCTGATGAAGATTATTAGCATTAAAGAAAACACGCTGTCCATTTTCTAGATGAATAGCCAAATGCTAAACTTTCGGATCTCAAAATTGAAAATTCTCCAAAACGCTTCAGAAGTACATTAGTATCGACCATTCAAATAATTTGTAATCTCATCGTTTTCACGATTAACAGAAAAAGTAGCTCTATCTGATCCTTTATTAATATATTTAAATATGTATTTTATCGCTTTAACCGAATGACAGTATTCTACGTTAATATGCGCATTAAAGCACCTAGATAGCACTGGACAATACGGTACAACCCAACGGTTGTCAACCACGAACTTTTAATATTGCAGTATAAGCTCCATCATCTGGTGATCTCCGTCGGTAAGTCGGATAACCATCATCTCCAGTTTGAGTATTCTTGACCAATTTGTGAGGGTATTTCTTACTATATTTTCTATTATTCATACATGGCGATCTAATATTTAACTCGCCGCATGGGCCATGAATCATATTCTTGCATACTATTTCATAAAGTATAGGATCTTTGTCTTTGTTTGGTATCTCGGCAGAAATAATTTTATCAATTTCATCTGGCTGAATTTTCGTTTGTAACCACAAAAGAATGTGACAGTGTGGCAAACCTCGTTTTTGCCATTCAACACTGTAAACATAACAATTTACACCACCGAAAATATATTTATTTTTTAATACATGCATGAACTTTTTTAGTTTGAGATGAAAAACTCTAAAGATTATATCGTGTCTATCAAACGACTTTTGGTCTTGAAATAATTCATTTTTTACACGCTCGAACATGGCAATAAACCTTTGTACGGATGTACAATCCGAGTGTAGAATTTATATTTAATGTAAGTGCATTTCCAATGTAAGTGTTTAATTTAAATGAATTAACCATGTATTGTTGTATTGGATAAATTATGGAAATACCTCAAAATTTGACTGAGTCCACTCAAGGGTTTCATCATCGAGTTAGAAAATTGATACGAAATTTTGGATCACTCGAGGCAAGAAAATAAAGAATACTTTAAAATATTTAGCAAAAGTTATTGCTATTAGCGATAAGTTCAAATAATTTTCTACGGTACATGTATTTTTAACACATTGAATCGACACATAATCGACAACGGCGGCTTTGCCTCAGAGACAAATAGTCGAGAAATGTTATGAATATTTGTATGGAATTATAATTTACTCCAGTGACGTCGATCCCTATTTCGAATCCAATACTTAATTTGGTTGGGTGGTCCCATGGTGGACAGAGGTACACTGGTACTAGGACGTACAAGTTGTAAGAATTTGTTTTTTGGGTATAAGACGGTTTCAAAATTGCAATTATAACTCAATGTACTCAGCATTTTTTGCAGTTATACTCAGATTTGATTTTTATGCGATACCATATGAAACAGACAACGGCGCCACTGATTCATTCGGTTATTAGAGTAATTATTCCGTTTTTATGGTTGTTTAATGACATGTCTTCATTCGAATGGTGCATGAGGATTTTGTTTTCATTTATTTTTAGCAAAGTAATGTGATTTTCCGGCCGCGATGATTAAGTATTTTGTAGCTAATCACGTAGTTCATGATATAAATTGACTACGATTATAATGGTTATTACCAGGGCTTGTAAGTTCATGCATTTGAATGTTTTTTTTGCTACATCGGAAAACATGCTAAGTGAGATACAAATGCGTTTCATAACAATAGTAATAAGAATGTAAGTTTAAAGCATGTTTTTGCATGTTTTGTGTATATTGGTATATTTGGTACATTATTAATTTTGGGGTTATTAGCGCATTTTATTTTAAATAAACAAAATCAATAAAATCATTCTTCGTGGCAGTTAAAAAAATAAAATTAGATCAATAAATGCTTGAACTCATTTTCCGAACATGTTTACAAAATGTTGGCATTTATCAGTACTTTTATTTTTGTATGATATCGGGTTTTATAAGTTAAAATCAGTACAACGGAAATAATGTTATTTCGCACAGCTACTCTTTCTATTAACGTTTGCATTGCATTCTATCAATATATTTTCATCGCAACTTGTGTTCATTAATTATAATTTTAATAAAATGTAATCGAAAAAATAAAATATAATTTTAAAAATATGAATGAATTATTCTTATTATTTAAAAAAATGCTATTACATTTTTTTTCGTGCATAGTTTAAATTGTTAATGCTTATAAGTGCATATCTGAATACATATTTTAACAAATTTCAATGCATTATTGCATGTTTCTATTAAACTTGTTTAATTTTTCATATTGATAAATGAAATTAAAACAAGCATTGTAAATAATAATATTATTGTGTTGTTTATTACAATGTATGACAGTATGTATTCTATTTTATTCAAATCTATTTTAATATTCTTTGTTTAATATATCATTACGTCCACATAAACATCACGGATCTCCATTATAAACATATTTCAGGAGGATGAAAAAACTTTTTAATTTTGACTACCATTTAAATATAATTAATTTTGATAGATAAAGTTAATACTATGCCTTTCATGGCTACCCAACAGAAAAAAATAGATTTATAAATTACAATTACAAATAGATTTTAAATATTGTGAAATCAAACATAATTATGTATGTACATAAGTTATCAGAAAAATTACTTAAAAATATTTCTAAATAACCTAAAAATAATTTGGTGGTATACCTATAAAGCTATTTATATACCTAATTGTAAGGCTCTAAACAATTACTTAGATGTTAATACAGTTACTGAAACAATTTAAAGAATATTAAATCATTCTTATAAAAAAACATGTCCTCATATATTATAAATATATTTAATCTTAATATAATATATATATTATATTTTCTTAAAATAATTGTCCAAAAATAGCAAATATCCATATTGATATTATAAAATTAAGCAAGTAAAACATATGTTATACCAATGCCATTGTATAAACAGAAATAACATTTAATACAAAATTAAAAAATATTTTAAAAACAAACTATAAGTAACAATATTAATAATAAAATATAAATCATCTTGAAAGCCAATTACTTTAACATATGAGATAATAATAGTAATTTATTGTCTCATTGTTACTTGTAACATTGTAACAATAAATGTGACTTCTTACAGTGAAGTTCTTGATCAGTAGGACATTTAATGGGCTCTCAATTTTTTTTAAAAAAAATATAGAAATATAAATCAATAATTAACTAACTCTTTGACAGCTTGTAAACATTTCCATTTGTTGGGCAAGTAAAATTGTTCAAAAACATGAGGAAATGGAGTGTCATACCCAGTAACACGCCGTATTGGAGATTCTAAATAAAGAAAACATTCTTCCTAAAAAATATGTACAATAAACAAATTAACCAGTTTTAAAAATTATAACAGAATAAAACAAAAAACTAAATTACTTGTATTGAAGCAGCAATTTCAGCACCAAATCCACCAGTTAAAGGTGCTTCATGAGACACTATTACACGACCAGTTTTTTTCACAGACTGAAAAATGTTCAATATTTAAAATAAATAAAAAATTTTATTTAATTTTAACAACATTTTTAATTACTTACATTTGCAACAGTTTGTTTATCCCAAGGCAATATAGTCACTAAATCAATAACTTCACAAGAAATTCCAAAATCCTTGTTAGCTATTTCTGCAACTTCAAGTAATACATGAACTTGAGTACCCCAACCAATTAATGTGATGTCTCTACCCTTGATTAAAACATCAGCTTTTCCTAATGGAAATTCATAATCATCATCAGGTACATCATCTACAGCTAACCTGTACATCATTTTTGGCTCAAAAAATATGCATGGATTTGGATCTCGGATACAAGATAGAAGTAATCCTTTTGCTTTATGGGCACCACGAGGAATTACAATCTGTAATAATTTGAATGATTTGATTTAAAGTAATTTTAAAATATTAAATGAATAATCTAATGATAATAACTATAATTTAATATAAATTAAATAAAAGGTAAAAATAAATTTGATGATGTTTAAAATTAACTTGCATAAAAATTGTTCCCAAAAATGCTAGACACATCATATAGGTAGATTACATTAATTCAATTTGTATTCATATAATTTTAAGATACAAATTTAAAATTAATACTTAAATTTTAACAAACAATAACCAAATACAGTATTACAATATTACTTTGAGTCCTGGTGAATGAGCATAAAAACTTTCAGGACTTTGAGAATGATAAAGTGCTCCATGACCAACAGCAGAACAAGGAGTACGTACAGTAAGTTTTCCACAATCAAATAGATTACCAGAACGGTAACGATATTTAGCTGCTTCATTAACCAACTAAATAAATAAATATTCATTATTACTTTCAAAAACTCTAATTTATAACTTATATAACAATTTAATTTTACTTGATCAAATGCAGGAAACATGTAATCAGCAAACTGGATTTCTGCTATTGCTGTAGTACCAGCAACAGCAAGACCAATTCCAAAGCCAATAATACCTTGTTCACACAGTGGTGTGTTAAAAACACGGTCTTTACCATACCGGTCACGTAAACCACTAGTACATCTAAATACACCACCAAATCCAACATCTTCACCAAATACAACTAAAATTTTAGAATAATATTTCTAAACAATCAGAATAAGCTCATTAAAATATATTTTTAATACAGGTATGGTTTTTTAATAAGAAAAATGTTTAATCTCACATGGTCCATATTTATCTGAAATTACATGTATTTATTATCAACAATGTGTTATAGGTATACTTTCATAATAAATTAAATAGCTTAAAGTACTTTATCTTTAACCTATAAACTTTTTTCTTTTAAAAAAATTGCTTATTTTGATAATTAAAAAAAAAATAATCAATAATGTATGTTAATGAGATTTAATAATTTTTAATACAATATATTTTATATAATATGTATAATATATAAACTTGAATAGCACTGTGTTCTTAAGAACTTAAGTAAAAATTAATTTTTAATCCTTAAATTAAAAGTAATATTTATTTAAAGAATGAATCTATTTAAATGCAATTACTATTAGTCGAAATCAGAGCTATAGAAAATACCTTTTCACCCCTCCCACAACATCAAATGCAAAAAAATATTTTCCATAATACATAATATTATGTATTTTTTTAATAGCTTACCACTATTAGAATCTTTACTCAACACTAAATCCATAGCTTCATTGATTGCCTGATACATATTTTTTTTATTAGTTTTACCTAAAATAAATATAATTAATAAAAATATTAAAAAATAATTAATTTCAAAAAATTCTTACCAAATTTATTCGAAATTTGTTCAGGATGATAAACAAAATGAGATGCATATTTGAAACAACCACATAACTTTTTGGATACATTGAACAAAGAATATTTATTAATTGCGTGCATTGTAACAAATTAAGAAATTATTAGGAGTATAATCGTTATAAATTTCACGGTGTACTGAACTAAGGGCTCGAACTTAGAAGAATCTACAATGACTTATTAATAATTATTATCTTTTCAATACCACTTCTTTTTTTTTTTTAATTTATTGATAAAATATTATAAGTTTATTACTGTAAGCATACTCGATATTTTAGTTTGTATATTATTCGATTGTGTGATATCAATTTATGGTAATATAATAAGGTTTAAGCCTTTTGGATAAACAGTTGGACACAACCATACCTATACATGTAAAGATATTTATATGCCTATGGACATGAGTGTACGCTTATACAAACTAATACCTGTTACCCATAGCTGTCTTTTATCATTGTCTATAAGGTAGTCTTTGATGATCATCTTATCTTATCTGCATATAAAATATAATTAAAATTAGTAATTATTCATACTAATGGTCAATAGCCATGTTTTAGTTACATGATTTTTCTCTAATCGTGTGTTCCTGATACCATAAATAATAAGTATTTTATTGTAATTATTATTTATTAGCTATTCATTTCTGTTGCAAAATAAATTGTTTTTGGCTTCTGTGTGGTGAAATTGCCACGGCCGTTATCACCTATCATTAACTCCATGCTGTTATCGTCGCTCACGGATATAATCGCAACTAACATCGTGTTTTTGTTTTGCATGTTAGGTGTTAAAATTTTCAACAATTTTGATTGTTTTTAGACGGCAAGTGGCCCACCAAAGTTTTCGATTTATTCCACGCTATTTGTCGATCTGAACAATTTAGAATTAAAAATAGTATGTACCATTTATATAAATATGTTTTTGATACGAGCCATGTTTACCTGTTAAATGTTATTTGATGATAATACATTTTCCAATGTATCTAATCGTTATTGCCATTTTTTACAATTCATTTTCCAACGGTCATCATAATATTATGTCACAGTTAAACGTAAAGTCTAACTTAATATAAAAATGTAATTAAGTATTATCTATTGTATTCATTTGATATTGTGTACCTATTATAGCAGAACATATTTTAATTAATTTTTACTTGGTGGCACTTAAATAAAATTGTCTACCATCGTAGTTCATAGACGTGGTGTTCTTCAGCAGAGGAACATACAGGGAAAATCAACTCCTGTTACTACGGTCGTTGTGAGAATGTGTTGGTTAGTGGTGCGATCACTCACCACTGGGTAGCATTCAATTATCAATGGAGGGCACTAGTGCTACATATTTTATATATTAAAATATGCTCTGTATTATAGCAGTCAGAGTTGTATTTAGATTTTTTTTTTTATTGTGGGGGATTGGATAATTTTAACAACATTTTACAATTTCAGTAAAGAATTTTAATTTGTGTTATGAAATCATAACTCTTTTTTTCAAAATTAATGAAATAAAAATAATACCTATATAATAATTAAAATAATAGAATATAATACAATTATAAACTAATAATTCATAAAACAATGATAATATGAGCTTCTAAAATTTATATTTTGTAGGATAAAATCAGCCTTAAAATTTTTTTTCTTAAATTTCACGAAAGACTGAGGCTCCCATCTATGTTACTGATAATCATATTTGTTGCATTTTAAATTAGGTATTTAGAACATTTTTTTTTTATTAGTTTATAGAGAGACTATATGTTTTAAATTTTATTTTAAATTTTAAGTTCCTATTAAATTGTAATAGTGAAATTAATAAATAAGAATGGTTAAAATTTTAATTTTACATTATAAATACAATGTATATAAAATATTAGGCCTATATTATTATATTTTCTATTAGTATAATCTATTTATTTTTATTGACTACTACATATAATACTTTATACGATTAGATGCATCATGCATTGTTACTACTGAACTTTGAGTTTCAGAAAACCATGGATGATAATTGGGAAGTTAATTCTATGATGGAATTTGATCACTATCAGAACATAGCACGAGCAGCTTTTGGTGATATGCTTTATGACAGCGACAGAGTAAATATTTATAGATACAACATTTTGCAGTTTTATTTTTCAAAGCATATTATTTATTTTACATTCTTATAAATTCTTAATATAATATAATGTATCAAAATTATTTTAAATTTTTATTTACAGAATCAATTATACTATAAAGCATTGAAAAAAGAAATTACAAGGTTACATAATGCTAATAAAAAAGTACATGTCTTAGACATAGGAACTGGTACTGGTCTATTAGCTATGATGGCTGCTAAATGTGGAGCTGATTCTGTTTACGCTTGTGAAGTATGTATAATGTTTGAATATACAAAGTAACCATAATTTTATAAATCAAGTTTCTTGTTTTAGGAGTTCGAAGAATCTTATAAATGTGCAAAAGAAATAATAAGATCTAATAATTTTGTGGATAAAATTGTACTTATTCCTAAGAGTTCACAAAATTTAAAAGTTGGCATAGACTTACCTCATCGTATGAATTTGTTAGTTACAGAAGTCTTTGATACAGAACTTATTGGTGAAGGTGCTATTTCAGTGTTCAATCATGCTCATCAAGAACTATTAACAGTTAATATTTGTTTTATTATTTTGTTCACGTTATGAAAACAATAACAGATATAAATGTATATTACTAGAGAAATACATTGAAACTATTTTTTATTATTTTCTATAGGATGATTGCATTGTTATACCATCTCAAGCTATTGTATATACTCAAGTAGTTGAAAGCGAGTATATAAGAAATTTTAACAGAGTTAACGATGTGTATCACAATAACAAGTTATTGATGAAGGTACCAGAGAACATAAAAAAATGTCAAGGCATTGAAAGTGTATTTGATTTACAACTAGGTGAATTGCCAATAGATGTTTTTAAAACTCTAATTCCTGCACAAGTTATGTTTAGGTGATAATTATATATAATTACAACTATTACAGACATAACTAAATATGTAAAAATGTCTATCTTAGGTTTAATTGGAGTGACAAAAATGGTGTGATAACTGATCGAAAAAATGCTATTCATTGCAAGTCTAAGGAAAATGGTATTGTTCATGCTGCATTTGTATGGTGGGACTTAGCTATGGATTCTGATGGTGAAATCATGTTAAGCTGTGCTCCTAAATGGTATGGAAATCGTGATGAAGCTCCTTGGAGAGATCATTGGATACAAGGAGTGTATTACTTTGCAGATGAAATAAGTTTAAAAAAAGATGAGGAATTCAATGTAATTGGCTACCACGATGAACTTTCATTTTGGTTTGATACTAATAAATCAAGGTAGATATTACTTTTAAAGACTTTACAGTTAGATTGCTGATGAATATTGTACTAATTGTTCTGTTATATCATATTAATATATAATATACCATATAATAACATATAACATATAATTTATATTTCATACTAACAAAAATCTTTATAATTGTATTTGATTGGAATGATTGTTTAATTTTGGTCTGAGGTATTATAATTCTGAATTATGATAAAAAATAATAATAATAATAATAATAATTCAATAGACTGTATTCAACTTATACAAATAAAAAAGTCTAACTTAAACTATAGTATACTAATAATATATTATGTGCCTATATTTATAATCTTCCCTTAAAATTAACTATAATATATTTTGTTTTAGTACATATTTAGATGTTCCTTTTCCATACTGTGAGTGTGATTTCCATAGAATTATTAGCAGAACACTTATTGGGCAAATGAATGATCACAATCTCACATTAAATTATTTAAATGCATTGAAAAAATATATAAAATTAGGCAGTGTCTGTCTATTTGTTAGCAATTTGTCATTTATAGGACTTGCTGCAACTTTATTTGGTGCAGAAAAAAGTAAATTTATTACAATCTTATATTATACAACTTGTTTTACCAAAATAGTATATTTAATTACTTATAGGTTTATTACTATGATGTAAGCGGACCACAGGGTTTTGAAAAAGTTTTAAAAGCATATATTAGAGCTAATGAGTTAGAAAGTAAAATTATTTTATTGAAAACGTACAAAGAAGTTTTAGAAATAATTTCTAAGCAAAATGAAGTAAATATTAAATGTAAAAATAAACTTATTCAAAAATATGGTTTTATTATAATTTTATATTAGAAAAAGGAAGAAATATACACTGTGTTTACGGAACCTTCCAAATGGATTTTACCTGAATGGATTGATATTGTAAGATTTTGTCTTCAAGTAAATCCAAAAACAAATATATTTCCAAAAGAAGTAACCTTGAAAATACAAACTGTAGAATTTGATGATTTATGGAAAATTCGAGCTCCTTTGACTGAAGTAGAAGGATTTGAAATTATACCATTCAATGAAATTGTGCAGGTATAATACCTTTTTATTTACAATACTTACTTTTTATTATTTATTTATAAATAATTGGCAGAAAAAAAATTATAATTTAATTTTCATAAATTTATTATTTTAAATGCTTTAGGAAAGTATCAAAATATCAGATGGAATATTGGAAGAAAAGCCATTATGGGAGTATCCTAGTAAAAGCCTATCGAACATTTATGATTTGTTTACATTGAATTTTGAGAATATTGCAAATGAATCCAATTTAATTTTAAAAAACAGATTATCAGTTAATATTGAAAAGTAGGTTGTGAAATAACAATATAAAATTCTTATAGAATTAGAGTATCTAGTATATTATATTTCAGTATTTTATACTCTATCAATATTTATGTGTTTTAAATGAGTACTTAACACAAAATATTTTTTTTAACTAGGATTATTTTGTGTATGGTAATTGTTTAGCTGATTTTTGTATATAATTGGTAATTTCTGAATTTAATAAATAGAAATAATTCTGAATAAATGTATTGTTAAATTTTGGTTCATGTAAATATCATGCTTAAATTAGCTAGATACATCTAAGTTAAATTCCCAAAAACAGCAGTTCTCAAACTTTTTACTTAGTGTTTTCCTTTTTTTGGACCAATTTTAGTTACAGTACCCTACAATAAATACTTATATTAGTTTTCAATATGCTTAAAAAATTAACACTATTTTTATTTTTATGTGGGTCATGATGTTCTTGAATATATTGCTGTGCACGTTTTGGAAACCACTGTCTTAAAGTTAAAGTATATATAAACTATGAGAATAGTGTCTTTCAATCAAATATATAATTGATTTTTAATATTATTTGAATAACCATTGTGAATTGATTTTTAAATGTTGGCTTTGTTTAATCAGCTTTTAATGTTTTTAATTAAATAATCATTAAATTGAAAGTTTAAAAATAAATAACATATATGCTTATTGATTATAATAATAAATTTAAATTTATTTAATTTTTTAATTTTTCCTGAACAATATTGAATAGAATTAATATGAATTCAATAATTTTTAATATTCAATCACATAAAATCTGTATACAACTATTTTGATTTTATTTTGTTTACAGCGATGGTGTTTGTCATGGACTAGTTTGTTGGACTGACTGGTGTTTGGATACAGATATACATATTTCATTTGGTGCTTCAAATAAAAAAACTTATATATCAGATTGGTATCCTTATGCACGACAAAGAATTTACTTTTTGAATAAGTATCGAAAAGTTTTACCAGGAGATGTTATAAACTGTGATGCTATTTTGTGTAAAAATGGCAATTTGTTAATTAGTTTTTGTAATACCTATGATCATTAAGTTACTAAAATTTAAAATCTTATTTTTTTATTGAAATATATATTTCTTTTATACAGTCCTATGTTTATTCATTGTAATTAAATCTTATGATACTTATAAATTATAATCAGTGGTGAGCGCTGAGAAAAATCTGAGTATGTGTAATATAATTTTTAAGTTTATTATATTTCTGTTTCTACAGATAAAAAAACATATTGTTATGCAGTTATTTGTAACTATACAGTCTTTATAAATCAACAAACAGATAGTAATAAGTTGAATAATAAAAATAGAAAACCTTAGAATATATGAACAAATTATTATTTGTATAAGTATCGATTTATCATTTAGGTTTATGTTTTTTCATAAGTTTAAGTGACAAATAATACATTTTTGATTTGAGATAATGATTTAAGATAATGTAATTTAATTTTAATTAATGATTAATGAGCATAACACAAGAATAGGACATGCAATTAAAAAGTATGGTGTATTGATTACAATGATAAAATTATGTAAATAACTATCAGTTATATATCTAAAGATTGCTTAGGAAGCATAAATTGTAATTCATTTATAACAGAGGAAACCTTTCTTTACCGAGGGCCATAAAACAAAAAATTTGTGGTGGGCCAAGAACTTAAAAATTATTTTTTAAAATTAATAGAATATTATATTTTATTGTACGCAAATTTTAATAGAAGTACCAGAGTTGTTCGTAGGGAAGGGGGTTTTGGTAGTGAAATCTTCTCTCGAAATTAGAAAAAAAGTATTATTAATTTTAGTTAAATATCATAAACATTTGCCAGGGATATTTATATAATCCGTTGTTGACCTATCTAGTACTATAAAATTAATTATTACTAAAATTATCTTATGAAATAAATACATTTTAAATAGGTACATGGTAGTAAAAATATTGAATTCCCTTGAAAAAATTTCTGGACGCCCCTGATAGATAGTGATAAATTTAATTATTTACTATACATTACTAGTTTATTGTTTTTGTTCACAGAGAATTTGAATAAAAGATTCTAATGTGCTTGAATTAACTCAAAAAATGGCATCGAGATGTTCATTTGTTTGTTGAAAATATTTTTTAGATGAATTTGAAAAAAATTCAACAATATTTTTAGAGTTTGAATAATAATGAAATTGAGTTTTTAAAATAATTATTAAATTAAAGTTCGATGATTTCTTATTGAATAGAAGTTTCGATATTACCCGATCCGTATATTCAAGATTTCTAAATTCAGGCATAGATGCATCAGATTGGAAAATATATCTTTTTTTTATGTAGCATAACGTTCGAAATAAAAAAAATCAAGTTTTTCAATTTGATTTAATACTTAATTGAGCCGGTTAGTAAATTATCGCAGATCGTAGTTGATTACTATTTGTTTTTAAATAAAAATTATTACTAATATGTTTAATTGTAGTTGGGTTAGTAAAAAAAAAAAATCTTGGTGCGAGTATTAATTATCTTTGTAGCTAATTGCACAAAATATAAATAGTTGTCAGTCGATATAATTATAATACAAGAATTGTTGGCAATACCGAAAAAGAACAGCAACAACTCTACTCATTCAACTGATATTATGCACTAGGATATTCAATAACCTAAATCATGCAGGTTCGAAGTTTTCTTACTGTACTGATATGTTATTCTAATAGTCCTTATTTTTTAATCAGCATATCCGTAGTGATGAGTTAAATAAAAACGAGTAGACGTGTTAACGTTATCAAATTAACAACGTTTAAATTAGCCATAAATTCTAAAGGATTATTAAATTGTTCATTAATTTCGAGATAGTCCATAATGAATGAGTAAAAAACCATTATTTGTAATACAAAACGACCTAATTGTTGAAAAGCCGGAATACGGATGAATATTAGATATCTATATATCCATGATAAAACAAATAACAAGTCTTTCAAATAATCAAATAAAAATAAGGAAACATGTGTTTAATAGTTCCATGAGTGAAGCTTGGAAGAAAAACACTGACGAATTTTGGTCCCTGGTGTACGTTTTTTAGTGGCTCCCTGGTAGAATTGATCAACGCCATTCTTTTTGGTTATGTGAAGTTTGCCAAACGTGTGAAGGATTTCTCTACTAAAATTTTACATATTTTTCGGCCGTCAAGTAAGTTTTCTCGTTAGAAAAGTGTTATAACAAAATTTCAACATGGGTCGGATGCACACACCCGGGTAAATATTAATTTTGTTTTTATGTTCATTCGTTTCGCCAGACCCAAGTTATAACGACACGGCGGCGGTACGTAAACCGCGCAACAATACACTGACGAACGCTGCTCGCGTGTGGTTTGGGTTATGTCGCACAAGTCCAACACTTTATGGACTCGTATTTTTAATTTTTTTTTTATAAAATTTTGCAGAAAAGGTATCTCCAAATCGGCTCTGCCGTACCGCCGTATCGTACCGACATGGTTGAAGTCGTCATCCGAAGATGTCAAAGATCACATTTTCAAGTTAGCCAAGAAGGGCTTGACTCCATCAAAAATCGGTAATGCTCAAACGTTTTGTAACATGAATTTAACTATTAACACTCGCATTTTTTTTAACCCATCAACATTTTTTCTGTTTTAAATATTGTGCCAACTGCATGCATGGTTTTATCATTCAAATGATTACCTTCATATTGGTACTGATAGAATCGTTCTATCGTTTAAAGTTGCATTATGGTTGATTCCATCTAACAGTATAAATTGTTAATCATTGAAAACTATTTCATATAATAAATGTAACTAATTTTTTTCCTACAATTACATAGTTCTCAATGATTGCACTGCATTTTTCTGTTATTGTTATACACCTACTTAATGTCATATATACTCAATGATAATAATTTTACTTTTTTTCTATTGAAAACATTCAACTGGTTTTTGGTTTTTATTGTTTTTTTTTTTTTTTTTTTTGAAGACTTGAACGAGGCATTTGTCTGAGAGTTATAATTAATAAGTTTTACATAATGATATAATTTTTCAAATATATTTCTTAAGGGCATTGGAAGTGATGATGATTTTTTATCTCATGGTTTATCATCAATAATTTATTATAATTTAGGCATCTATTTCCTATATGCTGATCAATATATTGAACAATTTTTTTGATGTCATCAATAAGTCTACATGAGGATAATTTTTAATTTTTTTAATTTTGTTTTTAAAATGATAAAAATAATTAACCATACCAGTTAAATGTCTGTTGATTTTAGTGTGAATTATGTGGATAAAATTATAATGTACAAAAATTGTTCATAATTATATTAATAAAAATTTAAAATTAATTAAAAATTCTTGTGCTATGCTTTAGATACTTGATAAACAGGTACAGAGAATAACTCCAACATTTTTTTTTTTTTTTTTTGGTCGTAAACTATCAGCTATTAGAATATTGTTAAATAATGCAATTAATTTCTTTGAATGAGTGAAAGAGGTTGTTCCATAATAATATACTGACCTGGTAATTTTGTTAATTTATTTTTTAATTTTATAGTTCATATTATAATGTCCATCCAAAACTAATGAAAACCATCACTCTTTAAATATTTTTACAAGTTATTCATTATAAGAAATGTATCAAAGTGGTATAATTTTTTACTTTTTTCTATTTTTTGCTTTAGGATACATATAATTTCAATATAAACATAAAATTCATACTTTGTAATAATTTTTCAATGTGTCTTGTATGGTAAATAGATAATAAATTGTTATGTAACTATGTTTTTATGTGATATATATTAAAAACAAATACCTATTATAAAATGTATTTAAAGTAAATTGTATAATGTAATTTAAAAATACCGCTCTATGATGATTCTATATACATATTTTCTGAACACTTTATTTACTGGTTTTCAGTTTATTAAGTTTACTATGCAGACTTATCGAGGCATTTGTCTGAGAGCTATAATTTATATTATTTTTTGACATTTATTTGTTTTATGCAAGTTGAACATCACAAAATGAATCAAATCGGTCTAATATTTTACTTGTTTATTTATTTTGTTTTAGGTTGTATATAATTTAAATTTAAACCTAAAATTCACAATCAGTTTGTATTAGTTTTTTAATGTACATTTGTTTGTATGATAAATAGACAATTATTGGTTGGTAAATGTAATGTATTTCTAATATGAAATGTATTAAAAATAAAAATACTGCTCTATGATGATTCTATACTTATATTTTCTGATAACTTTATTTAACTGGTTTTCAGTTTTATTAAGCTTTTTATGCAGACTTGTCGAGGCATTTGTCTGAGAGCTATTGTAATATTAACCATAAATGTAATACTTTTTCATTATCTTTTGAACATATTCAACATTCAATTCATTTTTCATTTAGGTGTTATCTTACGAGATTCCCATGGTGTTGCTCAAGTCAGATTTGTTACTGGAAATAAAATTCTTAGAATCATGAAAGCCATGGGTTTGGCTCCAGGTCTCCCTGAAGACTTATACCATTTGATCAAGAAAGCAGTTGCAATCAGAAAACATTTGGAAAGAAACAGGTAATAATTTTAGATTTTAAACAATTCATTCTTATGATTAAATATTAATGTAATATTTTGTATTGCTCTCTTTAGGAAAGACAGAGATTCTAAATTCCGATTGATTTTGGTTGAATCACGTATCCACCGTTTGGCAAGGTACTACAAACGTAAGTCAAAGATTGCCCCCAACTGGAAGTATGAGTCCAGCACTGCTTCCGCTTTGGTTGCTTAAGTAAACTGTTTTATTTGTATGGACATTTGAAGAAAAATACAACTTATACTTTAAGTTCAACAATAATTTTTTTTATTTATTCATTTTTCCAATTTCTATTGCTTCCATAAATCCTTGAAATAGTTCTATTTATTAAATTTAATAAAAAACAATTTATAGTTAAGGAGGAACGGTTTTGAATGCAGATTCAATTGTTTTCTGAATATCCGAAAGCATCTTTTTTCGATCACTATGCTCAATTCATATGTCAAGGAATTGAAAAATGTAACTTTTATTTTGCATTTTCATAACTTACTTTTTAGAACTTTTTTTTTGGTATTTCTAGTGTATTTTAAAAATTTTAAGTCCTTTTTATAAATAAATAGATTACATTTAATAAATATTTTGTTAAAACTATTTTATTCATATATAAAATTAATATGAAACAAGGTAAAATTTTAACGAATACTTTTTAAATTGTATATTCATGTTTTGGCGATAATTTACAAGATAAAAATAATTTATGCGAAGTTTAATTATAAAATTATATAAATAATTAAGAAAAATAAGAATTTATGTAATAAAACAAATTCTTTTAATCTAATAAATAATTTTTAGTGCATTTTTGAAAAATTTGTTATGAGTGCATTAAATAATTTTTTTAAGGCATTTTTCTTGTTTCTTAGAGCATTTAAATTATAATGTTATCATCAAATATATTAAAATAAATACATAAAAAAGAATTTACTTTTTTTCATTGATCCATAAATATATATATTCTTAAACGAATGACATCCTTATGCAAATTAGTGCTTTTGATTTGATGTGTACCCGAGTACCCGGTTATCTGGGTAATACCCAAAAAATATGCATTTGCTAGAACTTCCGAACCCTGATAACAAGTATTCATATTCAGTGGCATTCATAGGGGGAAGGGTAGAGAAGGTGTTCAAACTCGCCTCCAGGGCCAAAAAAAAAAAAAAAAAATGAGAAAATTGTGATATTATTGATGACGTGTAAAATATTCATAGTTTCATTGTTACACTTTGAACTTAAAATATACAACTATACAAAAATTATAATAATTGAATAATTATATTAATAGATGTTTGAAAAATGTTGTTAATTATGCTGCTTTTATATTCCTATAGTTACTAATTTACTATAATGTTAAAGTAAACAATAAATTGTAAAAAGTTGTATAAAATAATATCTATTTATTGCAGTTCTTTCTCTGTGCAACGAAAAAAAAATAACGAAATTTATCATGTTTTAGAAAAAATATATATTTACATACAAATCCCAGCTCTAGTAATGAGTATACAAACCATAATGGGTATCCGAAATTTTGTAAATCGGGTAATACCTGTAAAACCCGGGTATCAAGAGCACTAATACAAACACTCATCATCATAAAATTTACCAAAAACAAAGTTAAAAAAAAAATCACTTGAATTAAAAAAGTTATTTTCATTAAGGGTCTAAGGCATTGGACTAAGTACATTGGAGAACGTCGAGCGTTGCGTCGCGCAAAAATTTTAAGCCCTTATAATTTAAATCGGAATGCGTTCATTGACTTCGAGAGTCATCTTCAAGCGTCAGTGGCGCAGCGCGTCACAAATCAAACATGTTCGAATTTTGATGCCCGACGCTCATATATTTGGCGGGCGCGAACAGTCTAGTAGTGGTGTAGTAGATAGATTTCTACACTTAGATTTATATAACTTAAATATAGGTCAATTGTATAGGTATACGTAGCTGGTAGTATAGGTAGATACCATGCGAACATGTATAGGTATAATATAAAAATAGTTCATAACATGCGATTAATTATACATAATAATATTTGAATAATTATTATAATAATAATTATTATTATTCTATAGTTTAATATCTATTTTGACTAGATTAGTTAGTAGTTGGATCCAATTTCTGGTGGTGCAGAACAGTGACGTCGTCTTGTATTTCATTTGGTGGCGCAAAGTATAAAAATTTGTTAATACCACCACCCAAAAAGTTAGAGCAAAATAATGACAGGTTACATGATTGAATGATTATATTGTAAATTTAATCATCATAAAGTCGCTCACTTCGTTCACGATTTATCACTCCATTTTCATCTATTAGGTAGGTACTATTCAGCAGTGGCGTATCCAGGGGGGGCGGGGTAAGGATTTATAACCGACAGCCCGTACTACATTAATTATTAAGTATTAAGTCTATTTTAGAATACGATTGTATTTATTGTTAAATGTGCCGCTTAAAACAGCACATAATAATAATAATATAAATTATGATCGAGTAAAATGCCTCATATTTTATTATAAATCAATAATCATACAGACTGAAAATTATAATTATAAATAAGGTATTAATCATTGCCTATTTATCTTAGGTACTTATTGCTTACCTAATTCATAGTGGTTTTAGAAAAAAATATTTAATATCAATTTGAAGCGTATATAAATATAGGTTTAATTATTTAAATATTAAATACGTTATTAAAATTAAAAAAATTTAAAATAAAAAACAGTTTATTTCATTTTTTAAACAACTATAATTTGAAAAAAGATGTTTTAAAAATGTTTCACGGGGCAATTGGTAATGTAAGTAACTATCTTAAAATGTTTAAAGGATGAATTTGCATGCTGTATAATCACTTTTAAACATTGAGAACCAAGAGGCGTTTAGCTTCATTATGTGTGTGAAATAGATATAAATATCAATGTACGTTTGTATACCTACTTGTTATGGTAAAAAGACATGCATTGATAAGCGAATTGTTTTATCGCATAATAGTATTCTACCATCTACAGATCGACTATCATTTAATTTGTTCTTTCTTAAGGTTTACTAACTAGAGTGTAAATTTATCCACCCAACCCACCACCATAGTAAAATAAAGGGGCGAACTGTCCCATAAAATTAAGTGTTCGGCGCCACTGGTGCAGAGACATCTCAATTTATAATTTCCAACACACCAATTTTCCAATTTCCTAGGTAAAATTTTTCCCCAGAAATACATATTTTCCCATATATTTCTTTAAATAACAAATAACTTTTGAATTATTTTAGCATTAAAACCTTTATTATTATAATATTAATAAAAAAAACGATCAAATTTTTTTTTAGTATGCTGATTTCCTTGGCTCTTGAAAATAGTATTATAGGTATACCAATTTCAATGATTTTGTGATGGTGCAAAAATATCTTTGCACAACCACATTTCAGATGTGGTGCTGCAAGTGTCACATTGCACCACCCAGTTTACGCCACTGTGTATATTGGTCTATGATATTAATAAATATAGTCATTAACTATTATTTTAATGTTAAATAGGTAAATTTATTTACTTGATTAAATTTTTTTTTTTTTTTTTTAAAACTTCAAACATGTTTATATAGTAATATAGTATATTGTAATAATATAATTATTTTATTATAATACAAAACAGCCTTAAAACATTGTTTTTTTTATCTAGCGTATATAAATATTAAGCTCATCGTATTAATTTTATAATATAATAATATAATATTGTTCACAGGTAGTTTATCACAAAACGACTTGTACAAAATATAATAAGGTATGTAAATAATATATAGGCTCGTGTACACGAACAATACTCACATCTAAAAATAATAAAGTAAAAAAAAAAGAAAAAAAAATTTAAAATAGGTATGTGGGTGAATATTTTTGTAATTTTTATGAACACATTGGCATCATCGTCAAAAGATAGGGATTTGTCATGCATCACATGCGCGTGACGAATAATATGCTGGACATAGGACTGCGGTGAACTGTTCGTCGTTGTATTTTTTTGTGTAGGTTTAATGCAACGACAACGATTGTACGTTCCTCGTTCCCAATATGTTCATGAGCCTTTGCGACATGAAATACGGCCGGTCTGACGAGCCATCATTACGTTCGGAGTCCTCCACTGCAATAAATGTACAAGGACGTGATTAATAAATACAGTTTTTTTTTCACAATTGTGCAGTGCGTGCATCCGTCATGTACCACCCCTTCTTATGTAGCCTGTAGTTGTGGTATCGAAGAAGATCCACCATCCTAGGCGCGAATAATGTCAAAGAAAGTTCCGAAATCGTTACATCACACCGTCCTCCTTTTTCCTCGCCTTTTGCCCCGGAGAAAGGGGCAGCTTGTCTCAGTGGCGCACTCAGGATTTTTTTTCAGGGGGGAGGGTCAAGGTAAAAATATAACACATTTTACGATTAACAAAATTATGCAAATCCTTAATATATTTTGACTTAAATAATAGTATTGATATTGAATAGACTATTCTATAATCAATGTTACTACTAGGTATTCAATACTATTTCTTCATACTTCAAACTTTTAAAATTTGTAAATTTTAACCTAGACATCGGAGAAAATGTCGGGGGGTTACAACCCCTTAACCCCCCCCTCTTGCGTGCGCCACTGGCTTGTCTTAATACAACATGAACGTGTTCATGCTGCGAATAACGTGTACTTACAAAAGCACAGGAACAACGTGTCGACGGCGATCGAGTACACGTGGAAGAACGTGGACGATATCACCCAAGAGCCGACCGCGACAACGATCATGGGCAGCCACTTGTAGTTGAGGACGGGCGGCTTATCGACGAACGCGAACTGCTTGACCGGCTCCAATGGTTCGTAGAACTCGAAATAGAACGCTGTTATGGTGGCACCGGTAATGATGATCTTTCCGACGAAAAATATGAAGTCCGTCACCTGCGCACACGAATAATAAACGACCGTTATTGCGGTACTTTACTTACCCCCGTCGATATTTTTGCCGCGCCTTTGTTCTACGTCCAGCTCTATCATCCCTCTACGTCCAGGGTCACGTAGATAGCTTATTCGTGTACCCGGTGCAAGGCCGTATCTAGAAATTTTTTTCGGGAGGGATCCAAAACTTGTAAATTGTAATTTTATTGAATTTAGATTTTAACTTTTGATATTTGGTTAAAAATAAGACAGAAAAATATTTAATCTTCTTTTATTAAAGTTAATATCATATTTTCATATAATATAAAACTAAAAGCAATTAATGGTTAATTGGAGCTTAAGTCATTTTTGACTGAAAATATTTATGTTGGTATAAAAAATAAATAATTATTTTAAACATTCGTAAAATATTAAAGAAATTTCAGATGGGGTCCAGACACCCTGGACGCCCTAGATACGGCCTTGACCTGATGTGTGTACAGCAGTCATAACTCATACTCGTAACTCGAGTTAAAGGAATTACGGTTGAGAATAATAGTTGCAATGTACGATGTGCAATTACGTGGCAATACGTCGAAGAGGAAAATGTACATTTATTGTTCGTGTCGCGTACAATACATTTTGTACAACGGTACGAATGTTGTGACTCGCCCCCCTAAAAAGTTATAGTCAATATGAATTCGGTTACTATATTCACTCGATTATCCTTTTCGGTGGTATGGTTTAGCTATACATTAACTCGGTCGACTATACCTGTATGGTATGGAGCACCGAATAATATTCACGAACGTGCAGGACCCACGAATAAGACTAACAGGAGGTAACTAGTAGGCGTATATTTTGGTTCACGAACGAGTTAGAAAAAAATATTTCCCGAAAAATATAATCAAGACGGATGGATATGTAGACCAAATAAATTAATGAACACAAAGGTGCACTAGTCCGCTGTCAACCGATAAAATACACGTAATGCCTAAATATGTGCATTTTAGTTCAACATTATTTTGTGACGAATTTCATTTGTATTTGTTTACCGCTCTGCATTAATGTGCACAATTGAACGTAATACTCTACCGAGGTATTTCGTCGTGATATGCGGGCAACGGCATAATCAAAGGCATGTTCAAGGGGGTTCAAACCCATCCATATAAATGCGACAATCCACATTTATTTTTTTTAAATAATATATCACATTAATTTTATACTACTTGATTTTCTTCATTGGAAGAGTTTACATAAATTCAATTTTACCTAATTTTTTCCAGTGGCGGAATTTACATGAACTCAATTTTATCTGTTTTTTTTTCTGACGGAGCTTACAGTAAAAAAAAGTACTTTTGGCGGAGTTAATATGCCCATATAACTATCATTTGATTTTAAAGATTGTAAAGATAACATATCTCTTCTGATTAGCTAAGAGACCTTATAATTTATAAAATAATTTTCCTTTGAAAATGGCTCTAAAAAAAGCTTAGTTAACTTGATTTTGTACTTTGATTTATGTATAGTATTTTAATCAATGCTATGAATTAATGAAGTTAAAATCTATCAAAAAAATTAAATGAAATATGCATTTAAAATGTCGGAAATTCGCTTAAAATTCCAAAAAATTTAGAATAAAATGCACTTTAAATGGTTTTTAATTCAATATTTATATTGATATAATTAAAAAAAGTTTCTGAAAAAAATTATAAAATATTTATTGAATTTGAATTTTGTTTTGTAAATTTATTGATTCTGTAATAATTCCACTCATCTGATTTTTAAAATTTTTTTTTTACGAATTTCGTTAAAAAAATAAAATAAATTTAAACATATTTATAAGTGAGTATTTTATTCGTCTTTACTATCACATTGGACAACAAGTGCTCGTTTGATGTTGTTAAATAAAAATGGCTGTCGATTATTCGTTAAAAAATTTTTATACGCTAAAAACTTCCTTCAGTATCTACAGAAGATGATATGAACCATATCAAATAAAAGCTATGTTATCGAAGCTGAGGTAATCTGTAAGGTTCGTTCTGAATATTTTAGTTCCTTTGAGTATTTTAGAAATTGTGCATGTTGCATGAATTCCCGTATTTTTTCATAAGATTCATAAAATATACTCATAAATTTAATCAAGACTTTGCACCCGAATAATATTTACGGGTTTCGGGTTTTGGGTGTTGAATATATTCGGGTGTTCAAACACCACAATACAACATTTAAACAAACATTTGAGTGTTAATAACCGTTATTATTCGGGTTAATATTGGTTAATACGGGTGTTAAGTAGTCAAGGAAAAATATTATTTTTCATTGGTGGAGTGCGGTGGAGTGGCTGAGCCCCCCTCCACTAATGAAATATTTATATTTTCTTTTACCTGCCTATGTAATAAAATATCAGTTTCTTATACAACTGTGTAACAGTTTGGTAGACCAAACTATCATTATGTTGATTTCAAGCAATGGTGTAACTACGATTTACTTTCGGGGAAGAGGAGGTTATTTTATACGTGTATAAAGCTTATAAATTATAATATCTATTAAAATTAAAACACTAACACAATATCCTACTCCTAGTTAATGCGGGCATATCGTATGCGTCAAAAAACAAACTATTTTGTATTCTGCGTTTGTGTTTGTGGCATAGGTGGATATCGGGGGGGGGGTCTTGCGGGAACTAAGCCCCCCCTCCCAGAAATATAAAGTGCAGGTCTTAGCCCCCCTAGCTCTAAAAACTGTTAAGAAACTAAAATACAATAATTATTATAATTGTAATATGCATTTTTAATAATCGAATTAAAAAAATATATTCTGTGATAAAAATTAAATCAAATTCTTAAAATTTTACTAATTTCTTGTCATGAGTCATGACTTGGAACGATCGCAATTAATGTAATATTAATAATATGTAATAATACCCGTATAGATTGTTTAATTTAATTAATTAATAATTTCTGTTTAGAATACCTACTTCAAAAATGTTTAAGATAAGGCACCTAATTATTTTTTGTTTAAATTGTTGGTTAAAAATGTCAAATTGTCAAAGTTCATAAAGTGCCTAGTTGAAATAAATAATTACACACAGTGGTCTCTATAGGTGTAATAAGCAAATACTTCTCAGTCCTCCCCCCTACAAATTTCACCAAATTTCTGCTAATGGTTTGTGGTACGTACTCATACTAAAAACGCACTAGCTAGAATATAGCGTAACACAAAAATAATAATAATTTGTACTTATGAATGTTACGATGAAATTATTACACCAACTAAAATCGACAATTCACGCCATAGACATATGTACTACACGCCATGCACTGAACAAATACGAATAACGCGAACAACAATTTAGGTAATCGTACGCGAGACATCAATTCTATTTCAGACTTACAGTATTGCAATAAATAACGACTCGGTGATTTGTAGAAGACCTATTACCTATTAAATTATAATAATACGACGTATCCGCTTGGAATAATTTTAAAAATAGTATACCAGTTGTTTACACTTGAACATTCATCATACCATACCATTCATGCACACCTATCAATATGATATATTGCTATTGTCTTTATTTAGATAAATTTAGATTAATTAACAATTTTATACATTATTTGTGAAATTATTCCTATGAATAATAATTTTACTATTAAACAACTAATGAAAAATTGAAATAACCACAAAAAATACATACAAAATGATATGTCACATAAAGAGTGTAAAATAAAAAATTATTCAGGTTTCGGGTTAAAACCAATATTTTATTCAGGTTTTGGTTAATTCGGATGTTTAAAAAAAAAAAATCATTCGGGTTATATGGGTTTTGAGTGTTTGATTTTTTTAGGGTTTTTAGGGGTGTTACGGGTTCGGGTTAATTCGGGTGCAAAGCCCTGAATTTAACGTATACAGCCTGTGTAAGATAAAAAAATATGTGTTTAAAGATTGTGATTAACGAAATATTATTAAAACTACCAGAAAATTAACTAAAAAGGCAAAGAAATTATTTACAATTAAAAGGTTTGTAAATTAATTTGTTGTTATACAATTCAAATTATGTACTTGAAAATTTGCGTTTCACAATCAGCTTAAAAAAAATACACATTCCTACAAGTTCACAGCCCTAATTATAATTTATAAGCAAAATTTAACAAATATCTTGTGATAAAAAAAATTTACATTATTTATTTATATTTTATAAAAGTTTTCTCATTTTTATATCGATTCCTATATATATAAATATTTCAACCCCTCCCTTATTCATTCGAAATTCCTAAGCATTTCTCTTAGCACAGCTACTGTCTTTAAAGTTGTGTACAGTACGGCGACCGAATGCTATTATTGTACAACCAATAATGTCGCAATATTGTAATATTATTTTATTCTCTATTCTCGTCATCCCTGCGATAATCATCTGAACCTAAATCCGGCAGTTATTATTTTGATTACCTTGTCCACGACCACGACGCGCAGCACGTTCCTCAGCAACAGATCGAACGCTTGTTTGGCTGACGTGCAAAAGTTCTTTCCGTACATGGCGCACATGATGTACGCGTTACGATTGACGAACCGTAGGAACTTGTTCAGCAGCCAAAAAAAGCACCGCATGCACGTGAACACGGCCCGGGTGAACGCATTGTCGTACTTCTTCAGCTTGGTCTCCGCCCACTCGAGTATCGCGCGCACGAAGTTGCAGATGGCGATGATCAGCGACCCGTAAGCCACCGTCCCCAAGTGATACCTGCGGCGAACGGGTATCGCACGATTATTAAAATCTACTTAACAGCATCGTATCGTCGGTCGCCATCGCGCTGCCTACAGGTTGTTGTAATCACAAGCCCAGGTTCATGCCGGTTCGTGATGGTGTTCAACACGATTTACGGACGATTAGAAGAGGCAATCCATACCCCCAGGTGAGACGACAAATTATTTGTGAATCGTCGAAATGAACGAAAATCTAATACGTTTCCACGTTTCTTCAGAATGTTCCCACTCGTCATGATGTACCTAACAAACGTCCCTACTAGCACTAGGTGGCTAGATTTCGACGCCATTTGTTATGGAAGTTAACGACTGGTGAGAGTACGAGATTTACGCGTTACGTATTTTATGGTACGCGTTCGATACGGATCAAGACCGAAATATTTTCATTGTAATACGTCAAAAGTTATAAGTAAGTAATGAAGTGGAAAACTGTGACACGTTGTTTTCGTGAGAACAATCAATAGTAACAATCGGTAGATCCCGTGGACAGGACAGAAACGCTTGATATTGAGGGAGTAATATTAATATAAGGAACGCTATGATTGATAAAAAGGTGAAAAAAAAAATTAAATTAGTGGGAAACGGGAGAACGGAATTCATCTTCGAAAATTCGACCTTTTGCCTTATTATGTGATGATAGGTTAGATAAGTAACTTATTTGAAAACATGGATCGTGCAAAAGATACATCGGAAAATTTATGTTTTTTTTTATAGTATCAGTAAACATAAATAAACAAACATTGTTTGATTTTTTTCTCTTTTCACCATATTTATAAATTTTGACATCTGTGAAACACTAAACTTTCATAATTATATATACCAACGTTCAAATAATTTCCAATCTGAATTATGTTATATTTTTTTTTTTTTTATACACAGTAAATTCTCAATCGTCTTAACTACATACCATCGCGCAGTAGCATCGTTTCATCGGGATGAAACTATGATAATTTACGTGGGTACATACCTAAGTGTTTTGTAGACAGATTTTGTGAGCGAGAAGAACGGCACGTCCTTTTTTTGGAACGTCCAGTACCACGAGGCGAACGTGATAGCCAGTACCATCTGAGAGAAGGCCGACACGAAGTTCATTAGCCAGAACATGCCAAAAACGTTAAACAGCTGAAGCCCTGTGATGAAATCCTGCGACATCCTGTGGTCGAACGCACACTTGGCCACCTTGCACATGGACTTTGTCTTATTGTTCATGCAGTACCGTTCCCATTTCGACTCGGTACACCAGTCGCCGTCCTGTATGGAATGTAATAATATAGTAAAAATTTCAAGTTGTCGAAAAATGTTACATTTTTTGGAATTTTAATAACTAGTATGTCTGTATAACACATTGATTAGGTTTATGTTTCATAGATTTCTAAAGCTATAATAATAACATAAAATAGTATATGTTACATTAGCGAGAGAAATTATTATTTGATTTACATTAAGTTTACCAATATTTTTGTTTTAATTGTCTTCAGATTATGCAAATTAAATTATTATATAAAATATTGTATTATTGTATGAATTATAGGTTTTACCCGATGAGACCTAGAACTTTTCATAAGAAATAAATAATAATTGTAAAAAAAAAAAAATCGTTATATTATTTCAACGTTGTAGATGTGCAAAAAGAACTTCTCTGTCGCCAAAAAAGTATTTATATTTTTCCCTTTTATTACAAACTAAAAATCCAGTATTATGTTCTTAATTACTACAGATTCTTATAGATTATTGAATTCGAAACATTCAAGAGGATAAAATTGATACAAAATTGAATAATACTTTTGGAAGAAAAGAGCGTTTATCCTTCCATCAGTGTATCCATAGTTTGCAACGGATAGTCATACGAACAGAAAACGCCTAATCAGTGGTGTGCGCAGGAATTTGGTATTGGGGAGGGAAGGGGAATGTTATACATAAAAATGTTTTATTTTCAATCTTTATTCTTTATTATTATACAAAAAAAAAAAAATTTCATCAAGGTGGAAATTCATCTTTCTGGCTTTTACACTAAATTCATGAATTATTTTTGTTCTATAGATAATGGAATGTCTCGATGTATGTTCATTAACGCCAATCTTTTTAACTGTGACTTCCCCGTCGTATTTTTTAAATACTTTTTTAAAGTTTAAGGTTAGAAAAAGAGCTTTCACTAGTCGCCGTGGTCACAAAAAAAAAACCCATGGGGGATATATCCCCCATCATCCCCTACCCTGCATACGTCACAGCGCCTAATATTATAACACATTCACCTTGTAGTAACTGTTGTTGCAAACGCAATCGAGGTCGTTGACGAGACCTTTGACTTTGAACACGTACAACTTCATTGACGACAGATAAATAGCGACGCCGAAAAACCACATGAGCACCGCCAGGTACAGCACCCACTGGAACAACGGGAACACCAGCGACGTTTTGATCTCGAGAATGGCTCTGGGAAAATAACAACACGATCGTAATATTCGGTGAACGGTTATTATATCGCTGAAGCGTATCTCGCGGTAACAACGATGAAATGTCCAATGCACAATAACACCGGGCATACGACATACTTTTCGGGAGACACGAAAAACCGAATAATTAAATGTATATTGGGCGCGTGAACAGTTTGAAAACATACTCGAGTTCTTCACACGTATAACTAACTATACACGCGTATGTGTAACGTTTTTCTTAATACCGGGCATCTTAATTTATACGTTATTAGCTCGTGTAGCGGACGGGAGTTATCGCATGAAAATGTAGACGACATCGGAAAATGTGAAAAAAAAATATAAATACGAATTTACGTGAAGAAAAAAACCAAGATACTCGGTTAATGTTTCACCGGTCACTCAAGTTATTACGGTCGGGCGAGGGGTGGCGGATAATGAAAATGTCGCAGCAAGGTCTCACCGACTTCCCTCGACGATGAGCGCTATGGACAGCCGTATGCGCTTGCGCAGGAACACGATTATCAAAAGCAACACGACGAATGCAATGGACGACACGACCGTAAACACCAACCAGGTGGACTTTGTGTTCAGTTTCTCGTTCACGTAGTTGGTCCAGCTTTGCCGGCCGCCGGTCAAAAGGTCCGTCGGAATCTCATCCTCACCGCCCGTCGTCGATGAATCCGCGTCGCTGTCGAACGAGACGTACCTCGTGTACGACTCGTAACTACCTGCAGCACATGATCAAATCGTACGTCGATTAAACCGGTCAACGGGACAAAGGTCTATCATCAATAATCATCAATCAATAGTAATCATCGAAAATTAAAATTAAATTCTTCGACCCGGGTGATCAGTATGTACCGTCCCCGCGAACACTGTGTTCTTAACAGGCATGGTTCAAGGGATAGGCAATATAAGCCCGCACCTAGAGCAGCATTTAACATTTTTATATGGATAATTTTTTAAAATATATTACATTTCCTAGTACTTACTCATATCAAATTGTGTGCAGTAAAAAATAAAACTCAAAAAGCTGTTTTGAATTATTTAAATAAGTAGTGGTTTAATTGTCTACAAACGTATTAATCTAATAAATTGTTAACTTTACATAAATAAGTATAATGAACTCAGTATTAAGTCTATTTTAGTATTGTTTATGTAAAAATAATATTTGATGTAGTATTTACACGCAAGGGGTGGCGAAACTTAAGTTAACTTAAGTAAACGTTTGAGCAGGGTCTGGTTCTAAACATCATCCGATAAAAACGTACTGCGCTTCACTCAATGATTTTCCATCACTGATGTTGTACATAGTTGTCGACGGATAAATAATACTTTCACCAACGTAATATCTCAATGCAAATATATCGCATATATTTGTCGCAACTACATCCGCAATAGATACAAACATTTGTCTTGAGTTATACGCATGTAAAATGTTAAGTTTTTAGTAATTATTATAATGTGTTTATTTCATTCGTAATCATCGTACTATATTTTAAACTTTTTTTTTTCTCACCAATTAAAAAACGATTTTGCATATTTATAGAAATTGTTATTGACGTTATTATTCCAACCGGTCATTATTCTATCAAACATCTTTTTTAATCGTTTACATAATATAAATTAACATGCAATATTTTTTATACTTATTTGACTCTTTATTTTTAGGAAATGGCTTTTATTGTTGATTAAACATTAAGAAATAAATCGATGTTTCGTTTAATATACCATTAAATATTATATTATTTGTGAAAAATTAAATTTCAAGAATCGGAAATATTTGTCCACAAGATACAATAAATGGAGTACAAGCGCTATTGAATTTTAGTTTACTACGTTTCTAGGGGAATTAAAACATTTTTTTAAGGAGTTTTTTTGGGTTTTATGAGGTATTTAGTTCTAAGCTCTAGTTTCAATATAATATGTAACGAAAACAGAACGTACCGAAACCCAACAAACCCACGATAGCCAGCAACGACAGCCAGATCATTATCCAGCTGAACCATCTCAATAGAAGAATATAGGTGAGACTGAACAGTATGGCGATGAGCAGACCACCGATAATGTACCGGTAATTATTGATCAGATCGTCGGCTATCAGTTTGCTGTTCTATAAATTTACAAAAACATAAATAAAAATACAGTCGAGTCGCGATAACTCGAAGTTGAAGGGGGATAAAAATACACTTCGAGATACGTATTATTCGAAATACCTAACTCGAATTTATCAAAATTAAATCAAAACTTCGAGTTATGTAATGAAATATAATAAAATATAAAAATTATAAAAATTTATGACAAATATATGTAAATAAATGTTATACAAAAACTAAAATAGATAAAATGGTATTATAAGTATATGTACATATTATGTATTATTTATTAGACACAGTAGAAAAATAATTTGTAATTAATTTTTGGGTATTAATTGTATCACATGCACTTTGTCAGCTATAGTTTTTTTTTTTTTTTTTTTATATATTTAAGTAATTTACAATCTATACAACGTTATGTACAATGGGTAAATTTGATAGTTAATATAATGTAAAATAACAGAATTTAACATTTAAGGGCAGGCACTCAGCAGCACCACCCGACCGAGAACATTTTGATGTCGTGGTTTTTTTTTTTTTTTATTTTAGTAGGTCTCTAGGCCACTGTCTTTTGAGTCTTCTACGTACATTGCCAAGAAGTGAGGTGGAAGAAAGTTGCTTTATTAATGGATTACTGTGAGAGTTTAAGTTGGAGTGAAATTTAGAGTAATGTGCTTTTGCTAATTGATTAAGTGTAGGAGTTTTTAGGTCTTTGTGAAGATTATTGTTTGTGGAATACCAAGGAGAGGATGTTATTAATCGTAGGCAGATAGATTGAAAAGCTTGAAGCGTGTTGGTGTTAGAGGGCTTTGCAGAGCCCATAACTGTATACCATATGTCCAAGCTGGTCGAATTATTGATTTGTATATAGTAAGTTTATTGGAAAGGGAAAGTTTGGATTTTAAGAGTGGTCTAAGGATATGAAGTCTAGAGTTAACAGTTTTGCGTTTAAGTTTGATGTGTGGGCTCCAGGTTAAGCGTTTGTCGAGAGTTAGCCCAAGGTATTTGACTTCGTTTGCCTTAGGAATTGTTATATTGTTTAACGTGACAGGTGGAGAATCGAGATTACGTAGTGAAAAAGTTACTTGAACAGATTTAGTTTCGTTTATTTTGATTTTCCATCTGTTTGCCCACAAGCTGATCATATTTAAATGGTTTTGAATCATTTCACTGGCTGTGACGTGGCTTTCGTGGGAGGCAGTTATTAGCGTGTCATCAGCGTATGTGCCTAAAGATGTATAAAATGTCTTGGGTATGTCATGAGTGAAAATCGAGTTAAGGAATGTAGCGATGTCGCTTCCTTGTGGGACTCCAGCTCTAATAGTATAACGGATTGAGTAGGTGTTGTTTAAGCGAACAGTAAAGAAACGATTTGACAGATATGATTTTATCAAGAGGAAAAGAGGGGCGGGTAAGAACTTTTTAAGTTTGTACATTAGTCCGTCGTGCTAAATCCGATCAAAGGCTTTCAGCTATAGTTAAATGATTTAATTTTCGTTTTTGAGACATGTTTAAAAACATACGAAAATACGCACAATAGACACGACTGATAGACACATACTAACCATACATTGTATGTACATACTTACTGTTATTGTGCATGCGCTAATAATCAGTTTCTATCGACTCATTTTATCTTAAAGTAGATAAAACAAAATATTACGAAATATCCAGATACCCAGATATATATATAATATGCTTCGTATAGCTATTCATTATAATTTTATATTCGAGTTAACAAGACTTATAATACATTGAGTGTTATGAGAATCTCTTGGGGAATAAAATAAAAATCGAGTTGTCAAGTTTTTCAAGTTATCGCGACCCGACTGTACTTAATTATTGTGGTCACTATAATGTTATGCTAAACTCAGACGATCCTGCGTGTATGTAAATTCATGCACATGTGTACAATTGCAATTGTTAACGAACTGAACAAGAGCAAATCTCATAACACTAATATTACACACTATTACCAGTTGACATTTCGACATTTTGTACATGTTGTTGATTATTATATACAACCATATCTTCAGAACAAGTGAAATTTATATCTAAAATATCACACAAAGTTATCAAAATATCTTAACTACAGATCTCTACTCTTTGCTGAGCTGAACAAAATAACATCTTATCTGAGATAAGTTAGAGAAAGACCAAACGTCTCAACAGGTGATTTTCACATTGATTAATAAATTGTTTTGGGATTGACGGAGAACATGTTACACGGTAAAAAGAGTATTTCTGTTCAACAATAATATGCGTTTCGCAATAGTGTCGAGTTCTTATCAACGGTTTCGATTTCAATATCAAAAATATTACTTCTTTCGAATCTTTCAACCACTCGACCATAGTGGTGCCGTCGATCACGTTGCTCAGTACGATATTGTTGGTCTTCATGAAGGCCTTCAAACTTTCGGTGTCACTGAGCGTAGGAACACAGTAATTCAACACTGAAACCGCAGTTACAATCAAATCAACGGAAACATGTCAAGTAGTATTATATGTGACAGTTATATGATGTATACTTACGCGATGTGCTCTTGATATAGTATTTGGTACACAGGTTAGACGAAGTAAAGTTTTTCAGCTTTTCCACTGAGTTGACTAATTTGTTGAGATCGGGCGAGACGCATATAAGCGATTTCTGGACGGCTGGCCAGTCGATCTGCGACTGTTTGCCATCTAACACTTCTTTCACGGACCAGTCCGCGTCCGGACACCTGTCCACGCAAACCTGGTACATAAGCGAAAAACATTGTATTATATTATCATACAATCATACAAACTATATTTAACGGTCGATGGTTCTTTTCCTAAACATTATACGTCCTATGAATATGCATTACTTTGATGACAAAGAGAATTTTAGCTTACCATTTAACCCCTTATAGGAATTTTTATTGTCATTGAATATAGGTAAAAACATTCACAGCGGCAGAACCGCTTTTCGTATTTTTTACATTATGCGTTCAGTTTTCCGAATTAATTTCACTTTTAAATTTGTCATTAATGATTATTATAACATTTCCAGATACATACATACATTATATATATATATATATATACATTTTAACGATAAAAAACCTGGTGATGTACGTATTAATATTAAAATATTAACTATATTATTATGTTATTATATTATTTACCAGTCAATATATAGTGATTATAAAACACTGTTCATTTTAACTAGAGAACTAGTCTAAAAAACTACAAACATACAAACACCGGATGGTCAAGTTCCTATACATAAGTTAATATGATAAGAATATAAAGCTCAGTAATAAATATTCGTTGAAAATCGTAGTCCGACTTACGGAGGGGGGGGGGGGGGGGAAAAAAATACCTGAGGCGTTTGACATCCGTGGACGAAAATCATCAGTGATGTGCATTCGGTAATGTCGAAGAAGAACAGGAACGGTTTGTCGGTCACATTCTTGTTGTAACCGCATACCTGACCAGCAGAATCCGACGGATTCACGAGTACTTGTTGATCAGAGTTCTGATAAGCTGAAAAATCAAGCCAATAATAATCAATAATTATTATATTGCATTATATATTGCACCTATGTGGCAATTATGTGTACAATATTATATGGAATACAATAATGTTGTTGTGGTGTTTACATATTTACATGCGGCTACTGTTAAACGGACATATTACGCGTTGCATTATTTTGTGATAATATTCCGGTAAAATCCGATAATTTATTTTTATTGAGTTATGATGTAGTCATATAGGTAATTGTATACGTACCATAGTTGGCCAACACAATCCAACAGACTATGAACACGCTGAAACCGATGAAGCACAAGCAATCCGTGCACGATCTTTTCTCCAAGGGTTTCTTCTTGTTCGGACTATAGCTGTCTGAACGATGAAAACACAATAATTAATTAAAATGTTTCACACAGAAGTATAAAATAATGCGTGAATACACTGAAAATATTAATCAATTACTTATCTTAATCGCAATTAAAATATAGTACGTGGTATATTATGTGTAAATATGTATGTACATGAACTGATTATAATATTTTTGAAATCAACAGTATTTTTAATTTCAACTTTCACGATAATTTTCATAATAAGAAAACTATTCGTGTTAGTTTCATAAAACACTACTAATATATTATGTATTAAGTGAAAAATAATATATTATACATCACTCACTGCAATCCATTTTTTTGATTGTCCAACGCTGTTGTTGATCTCTAGGCCTATACAGTTATTTAATATTCTTCGACATGTTTTAAGAGACTTGAGGAGTTTTAGTCGAATGTCCTGCAATCACACAAAAACGAAAAACTTTAGTACCGCAGATAGAGTTTTTTTCTTTTAATAAAAATATATTATTACTATCTCTTTACATAAAAAAATAACTAAGAACAATGATGACTGATGATAAAATTGACGCGTAAACATATGATTTCGGATAATAATACATTAATATGAAATAAATAAACATAAATTATTAACAATACTATATTGAATAGGTTAAAACAAGTATTATAAAACTCACCTAAGTAAAATTATTTTTGTTAGCGAGACTTAAATAATTAATACAATACGTATAAAAAATAAGTATTATTACGGTCGTAAAATGACGAAGAACTATTAAAAACGAATGCTGCTGCGAGGTTATACCTACATGTAATACTCATCGAATTTTGAATTTAATATATAACGGATATATACATATAATGAATAGGTAATATTATTATTAAATCTCGTATTGTGCGCAGACGGTATACACGAATAAATTTAGATATGTGTATAAAAGTCTAATTAGATCGAATAAATTATGAGATTGAAAAAAAATTACAATAATGTCTCATTAATTAAAAAAATTAATTATGTATTTTAATTGTGTAACCAGAAATTTATATTTTATATCATCAAAAGGCCAACGTTTCAATTCACACGTATGATAAGTTCAACGTACTTGTTATTAATATTGTATAATTACATGTTGTTATGATATTTTTAAAAAGTATTACAAAAAAGAAAGAAAAGTGTAACGCAATAGTTAAATCGATTTTTTTTTATCTCTATACTGTTGATTTATTATATTATGTCGTTACACTAAGTAAAACTAATGATTCTGATTGTTTTGATGGTTCTTATTAATTTTCAACAGTTTTTTTTTGGTTTACCCGAACAGTCAACCTAAAAACGAATTAATTTTTCATGCACTACATCAGACTCTGATATTTAAACGTTTATCTATAAATTCCTTAATAATTATTATTAAATAAATCAATTTCTACATCATCCAAATGTCAATAGTCAATAAGATTATTATTGGAAAAAAAAAAATTAATTTAATAGTATTTATTAAAATACACAGACCAATGTTAAGACTTTGAAGATTACCATTCCTGAGTAAAATTAGATGAAAATAAACGATTTATTTTCAAATGATCAAAGCACATATACCTATAGAGAGTTGCAAATTAGAACAACTAAGATTTTATCAAACCACCGTGTATTCATCAAGAATTGAAAACTGTTTGGCCGTTGGTAAATTATATTTTGTATCTCAAGCTAGACTAATAATATTTAAATAAATAAATAAATGCATAGCCTGGAGCAAACTGGATAGAACTTTCGATCAATTAATAACTGATCAATACAATGCAATTTGTAAATTAATAGTCAGTTATAAATTATATAGAATTTAAAAAAAAAAAATGTATTTATTTATTTATTTTCACACATAAACTATTTGTTTAATTTACGAGTATTAACCATTTACTAATTTATTTTTATTTTTTATTATTTAATAATATTTAACAATATTAATTTAATTATCACAACTTTTAACAATTATTTAAAATAAAGCATACACTTATACTAATTATACAGTATATTAATTATAATGTGTAGCATAAGTACGAAAATTGCTAATATATATTATATAAATGCGTGTTTCACAGAAAAATTGGATTGGTCAAAAATCGTTCAGAAAATACGAAAGAAGAAAATTTTTTATTAATAAAACCATATATAAGAGATAGGTACGCAATATAACTATAATAATATCAATAATGACTTGCACTTATTATTATATTTACATTTAATTAAAAAATAATTCTGGTTGATTCATAGTTGTTGGCTGTTCATGTTTTTTTATATATTCCAACTCTAAATGATTTAATTTTTGTAGACCGTAAACGATTGACGAGGTATACGGTACTTTTTATTATTATTATTAAATAATATTTTTTGTTGTTTAATAGTTTAAAACTTATGTTATAATTTTTATAACTGCAAATAACAGCCTAAAAAAAAATTGGTTGACACTTTACAGTCAAAAAAATATACAGGGACTGATGAATGATTTTGCTGTATAGGTCTTTTAGAATTGAAACCAAGGTATCATTAATTTTGAAAAAATGGATCTAAGTGAAAGAAATAGAAAGGATCAGTTTATATTTCTAAAGATTTTTAATATAGGCAGTAATAAGACTAAATATTTTTAATAAAGTAAGTTATACTTTTTATTGAAAATGTCAAGTGTTTATAACTAACTCAAATGTCGTTAAAATATTTCGAAAGTTATGAAATGTCTCTAAAATGCCATTATTCTGTATTATATATCAATAGAATTGTGCGTGACAAAATATTAGACGGTTTTAAGTTTAAAACTCATTTTCGATTAAAGTTTGTTGCAATTTTTTTTTTTTTTTGTTTTTCTCATTCAATTAGTAAAATGTTAAGAAATCAAAGAAATCAAAAAATGACTCCCCTCCTAGTACGAATTTATTTCCTGTTAGAAACCATCCATAATTGTGATATTGAGAGCAATCCTCCTGTTCAAAATCGTGTAGTCACAAAAGATACCGTAGCTAAAACTATTTTTTTATTTCAATAAGATAATTACGTGTACATTTAAACGATATCATTACATTATCATTTGATACAAATCTAAAAAACACGCATTTAGTAAGCAAATATTAAATATAATATGGTGTACAATTAGACATAGAAATCTTCGAGCTTAAGAGGTCACGACTTATTGATAGGACGTAATAGTATTATTATTCTGTGGATAGTTAAGTTTTTTTTGTGAACTTTTTGTTCTTAAACAGTATAATTTTTAAATAATAATATAACAATTATGATATGAATGTAGAATGTATGAATGCTTCATCGAATTTATTGATAAAGAAAATGGAACGACTCTTTGCAATATTTAATGGGTTATTCATAAGAACCTAAAAGTATCGTTCTGATGTGTAATAATAAAACGATTAGCGATTTAATGATAAAAAATACACATTTTATATCATTATACCATATATACCACGTTAGACTGTGTATTTATTGAGAGACAAAGAAGCGCACGATAAAATATATTGTAATTTTGGTTTTAATAAGTTGACCCAATACGAGTAATTAGTTTGAACGAAACAATTTGTAAAATTATACGTGTTACTCGAAAATTAATAGCTAACAAATAAAACGTAATTATTAAAATATCCGGAACGGGTCGGAATTATATATTGGGGCCAACTAGTAATCTAGTCCAGTTGACAATATTTCGTTGAATAAAAATATAATTTAATATTGTTGTCTTACGTGTATCGAGTCAATTTTAATGATTATGTTCGAATAGTTCAGAGCAAACCACAATGAATTTAATATTTGCCCAATATATTTCTAAAGTATATCCTCAATAATTGGACTTCTTTCAATCGCCAATATTTATAAAGAATTACTAAAAATGGGGACAGTATTTTAGCAGTGTTATAATATTCATTTTTAACTAAGGAAAACTACTGAAAACACTTTATTTGATTTACAATGATGCTTTTTTAGGTACATTATTTTATGGAAATCACTTTTATAATAAATAAATTTAACATGAATATTTTATCCAGTAAATTGAAATTAAAAATTTACTTTTTTTTTTTAATAGTAAATTTACAATCTATACATAAATATTTAAATATATGTTCAATTAGTAAAATATTTGAATTTTGAATTTATAAGATCTATACATTACATGAGTTCTTTTTTTAAGAAGTAGCACCTCTGAATTTGTTAATATATATAATTACTTCTTTATGTATATGGTAATTTATTTATTTTTTTTTTTTTACTGGTTTAGGAAGTCTCTTGGCCAATTTCTTTTTAATTTTTTAGTGGGATTTCCAGGAATTGTTAGGGAGGATATTTGAGAAATAAGTGGATTTTTTTTATGAAATTTGTTAAAGAATTTATGAACAAGATTTTTTGGAGTTTGAATATTTGGTTATTTATGCAAGTTTTAATTAGTGACGTACCATGGACAACTAGTAATTAATCGTAAATGAATTGACTGAAAGGCTTCAAGTGGTTTTATATTTGATGGTTTAGTTTGTCCCATATTTGTATGCCATATGTCCAAATGGGAGTTAAAATGGTTTTATAGATGAGTATTTTATTTTTGAGACTGAGTTTTGATTTTAAAATTGGGCGGAGGAGGTGAACTTGAATAGTCAAAACGTAAAAATAAAGTATTAAAAATCCTTTTTATCAATAAATTAAAACTACATACCTATTTACAGCAGTTATAAATTTATTAATTTCAAATTATGATAAATATTTAAAAATATTTGAATTTGAATTTTATTACATTATTTTCCTGTAACAAAAAATATTTAAAAAAAACCAAATAAAAAAATATTTTGATAAGATACATATTTTAGATTTTGAATAGAATTCGAAATAAATGAAATAATAAATCATTTTATTCAAAATCGATTGTAATCGAAGGTTGATGTAACATATAAATTACCTACCTATAAAACATCTTTAAAAATAATCAAATCATCATTATTCATGAAAACAATTAAACTATATTTTAAATTCAAAACCTTCGTAAAACATATTATATCTTGAATTATATATTACATATTATATCTATTATGTCTTGCAAATCTTACAATTTTTTTTTTTGCATGTTGAGTAAAATTCCCTCAAAATCTTATACAAAAAAACATTATAATATTCCTTTAACCGATTTTGTTCGACCGTCTTTGGAATTCAAATGACGTTGCATCGTTGATGAATGTAATATTATAATCTATATACTTGCATTAATTTTTAATATTATACATGTTATAATTCAACACGTTTCCCTCGAATTTGTTTTTACCAGTTAAATGACTTTTATATAATGTCGGAAACGACGAAAATAAAAAATTTAAGAGCTCAATATACATAATTACAGGAACGGATCGCGTTTCATAAGTCTTATTACAAGAATTCGTTGTAATAACAAATGTATTGTGTGC